CTTCTCTGAATGTTTTATAGAATTCTCCAGTGAAACCGTCTGGGCCAGGACTTTTTTTAGTTGGTAATTTTTTGATGACCTGTTCGATTTCTTCTTTTGTGATGGGCCTGTTCAAATTTTTCACTTCAGTCTGTGTTAGTTTAGGTATGGCCTGATTCTTAAGTAAACTCTTCTTTACCTAAGTAAACTCATCTTTACATTTGGGTCTTTATTTTTGTGGGAGCCAGGTTGGATTACCTCCTTTGGAGAAGTTTAACACCTGGGGTGGATCACTGTCCTTGGGACACCCATTTGGAGCTACTGGCTGTCGGTTGGTCATGGCAGCTGCCAACAGATTACAGAAGGATGGAGGCCAGTACGGCTTGGTGGCCGCCTGCGCAGCTGGAGGGCAGGTATGTCATGGTGGCTTTGTGGGAGCTCCCAGAAACTTGTTTTCTTGGGGAAAAACAAGCTCATGATAAAAATTTTGATTTGGTTTAGTTGAAAACAATCTTAAAATAGTATTTCTGATGACAGGTAGCTAGACAAAAAGCAACCTTCATTTGATGGGTGGGAGGTGAAGAGAGGTGTACAACTTTAATTCTGATAATACTTTGGAATGAAGTGCTATTTAAATCCAAAATATATATTTTTTTAAATCTAGTCACCGTGAGACCTTATCTATAAAATCTCTCCAAGAGGTAAACTCTCTTTCTAGAGAACTGATTATACCTTAATTGGAGAGTTAATTTGTCTCAGGATAACTTACTGAGGGAAATTGTTATTCTGGCAGATTTTTCCTACCTGCCTCACATGGATTATAGACACAGCTTCCTACCTGGCAATAAAATGAAAAGGAAAGCTGGCTGTGTCTTTTTTTTTTTTTTTTTCCTCCTCTGGTGTGAACCGATTTTATTTTCTTGCAGATTATAGAAACTTTCAGTTGCTAATCAAAATGAATAAATAAGATATATAAAAGTATTCACATCTTACTTTTAAAGATTTTATAGTTTTACCTTGGAAACTTTGAAAAAACAAAGGATCAGTTATTTATAGGTTAAACATTTTAGACTTTGTGATCAAAAAATTTTTAATCTTGTAGCTTCATGTACAGAAAACTAGAGTTAGGACTGTAGCCCTCCCTCTTATCTTTCAAGGTGATAACTTGTGCATAGTGCTTTACATGATACATAAGCCATGTAAGTTAGTGTCCTTTGGTTTTGAATGTTTGTTCCCTAATTTTTTTAATCTAGTGCAGAGTGTGTATAACACAGTATGGGGCCATTTTGTGGCTGAGCAAAGAACAATGGCCAGTACTTTTTTCTAGAAGCTTGTAGCATAGTGAGAAGGGAGGACAGGCTGTGTCTTAGAAGCTAGATCAAACACGGCATTGGTTCTTCAAGAGCTAAATGAATGGTACAAACACAATTAGAAAATCAGAGAAGGAGTCAGTCATTGTGGATTTTGAGCAGGGTTTTTCAGCCTTAGCACTACTGACATTTTGGGTCAGATAATTCTTTATTGTGAGTGACTGTCCTGTGCTTTGTAGGATGTTTAGCTGCATCCTAGTCTCTACCCTCTAGATACCAGTAGCAGTACCCCACGCTACCACCCAATTGGGACACCTAAAAATATCTCCAGACAATGCCAAATGTCTCCTGGGGCCAAAATTGCCCCCATTTGGGAACCAGTGATCTAGAGCAAGAGAAGATGTCAGAAAATGAAAACAGTGCTTTTAGATAAAGCTGGAGAAGAGGTTTTCTACCTTATGAACCTTTCCAGGACAACCCCAGGCTGTCAAAGCTGCCCGTCCCTGTGCTTTTTTGTTTGCTTGTGCCTTTAGCAAAGTACTTAACCACTTGTTTTGAACTACAGTTTGTACTAGATTTTATGGCATACAGTGTTTACCTTGGTGCCTTGCACATATAGTTGCTTAATAAATATTTGTGGGGATTTGAATTGAACTTAAAAGCAGGGAGATTGGTCTTTTAACTAGTTTGATGGCAGTCCAGAAGATGGAATATGTGTGACATCAGAATTTCTACTTATGGAATCATAAACTGGTATATCTTTATGGTCCCTCAAATCAGCTTCTTAACTTGTGTAGAATAATAAAGAAGGGAAGGGCCTAGGCTTGGAATCATCTAGACCTGGTTCAAATCCTGGTTCTGTTACTTAATAGTTTTGTGATTTGAATGAGTTACTTAACCTTTCAAAGGTTCATGTGCATTTGTTGGCATTTGTTGTTAATGTTTGTTTTTGTATGGCTAAAAAAGCCCCAGTAAATTCTCATCTTTCTTGCAACCATTTGTAGAGCATCTACTAAGAATCAGATTCTGTACTAGGACTTCACCTATAGTATGTTATCAAATTTCATGCTCACAAATGAACTAGGCACCATGCACTCCATTTCATAGGTGAGGAAATTGAGGTTCAGAATGGCTAATAATTTTCGCAATATCACACAGCAATTGAATGACAGAGCCAGGATCAAAATTCAAAGTCTGTGTACTTCCCATTGTATTGTGCTCCTCCTTAATAATACTGTGCTGACTGGCTGTATTTGCTGTTCTAATTGAAACTTTTTTTTCCTTTATAGGGCCATGCTATGATAGTTGAAGCTTATCCAAAATAATAGATTAAGAAGCGGTGACCTGAAGTTTCTGTGAACCACTCACACTAGGCAATGCCATTTCAATGCATTAATAAATGACATCTATAGTTCCTAGCTCCTTTTAGGAAAGCTAAATTTGTGGCCTTCTGTTAAATATTTTTCCGGTTAAGCCTTGCCAGTGTTCTGAGCTGTTCATTAATCACAACTTACTGCTCTTTCAGGGATTTCTTCGTCACCAGAATCTAACACAGTGATACATTTAAGCAATTGTTTTTTGGTCTCTATTTTCATTAAACACTAAGTCAGTGGTTGCAATTTGGAAAAGCAGCTGACATTTGCAAATTATACTCATTCCTATTTGTATACTAAAGTTAAGTATTTTCTATTAAATACAAACCAATGTGCCTAAATTAATGATGGAAAGATAGTTCAGAATTTAAACCACCTTTAAAACTAGCAGTAAATGTTTAGGTATATAAATATCATCTTGGCCAACCTTAATAAAGTGGAGAAGTATTACAGAACTATTTGTTTTATTTTTTATTGGAAGGTGGGAGGTGGTTCGCTTGTCTTAGGGGCAAAGTTTGTCTTTAATTTGTTATTTGTAACTTCTAACTATTTTAGTCAACCTTGAAGCTGCTAGGAATAAAGATGTCCTGCTTTAGAGTAGCACCCCTCCCCTGTTGCTTAATTGTAGTAAATTTCTTTTACCCTTCTGTTTACTAGCATTTAATTGAAATGTAAAGAAGTTTTCTATTTTGATACATACCATAGATCCTCTCAGTTTTTTGACAGTCAGACTGCACTAAGTGTGTATCCTAGTGCTTTGAAGAAGCAAAAGGCTCATTATGGCCACTTAGTGAGTGTTGTGTTAGGTCTATGAAAGTTACGGCACTCAGAATCATTCCCTAGTTCAGGGACACATTGGACAAAGGACCTGATGTGATCCTCGTACAAGGATATTGAGAGTCCCAGCATCATTTTCCCCATGGTTCTATTGGTAATGTCGACATAATGAGTTTTTAATATCGAAAGATACTGTATACACAGATATATGCACATGCACACATATATGTTGCAAAAATCCACTCTAGGTGAACTAAGTTAAATATAAAAGGTAAGAAACTTTTAAAATCTTAGATAAAAATGCCACTGTGACATTAGGGTTGGGGGATCTCTGCTGCTTCTAGAGTAAAAGAGTATATTTTGAATTTATAACCAAAAGTGGTTGCTTTTATCATTTAAAAAATTGAGACAGTAAATATTAATAAAATAAACTGAAATAAAGTGGAATTGAGACAGGATTATATTGCAGGGGAAATCATCAAGGCAAAGTCTTCACTATTTCAGTAGCTGCCTGCCTTAGAGGGGCTGTAACAAACAGGAAGGAACAGAAACATTACCTGGGAGCTGGTATTTTCTATTTGAAAGAATTATTGAATCCATTTAAAGAAATATTTTGGCCAGTTTATACACGATTAAAATATTCACACAGATTGTTACATGAAGGTGTAATTTTTATGAGAAAAATATGCTCAACAAAATGTGGTAGCATATCCATTTTTGTTTTAAGAGAAAAACTGCCTATTCTACTTCATTTTTAAAAACTCTGAATTTTATAATCAGCAAAATCTGACTCATCAAAATTTTTAAATCTAGTTTGAAAAACCTCAGAATTCTGTTATCTTCCTCTTCTGAATTCCATAAGTTAATTCAGCCAGATATCTTGGTGCCCTCTAAAGGCTTTTCTTGAATCTTTCTTCTCCATGTCTAGTCTCAGCTTGATCTGGTCACTTTTAAATGTTAGTGTGTGTCCATATTAACTTAGGTGAAGGGAGAGGCAATATACAATCAGGGGTAAGTTGGCACAATATGACAAGGCAAAGGAAGACTCTGGGAGCAGTACAAGAGTTACAGACAATCAAAATAAATACTATTACATACACAATCCTGCATTAACAGTAATAACAAACAATAATCTACAAGTGGATACTTAGACAGACATGCAAGCTGAACAGGGTGAATGGAGCTACACCTATGAACATTTTATA